CCAGCTCAGCCCTCCAGAGGGCGGGGCTGGCTGGCATGTGGTGCTGGGGGATTGAACCGCGGTCCCTGTGCTTTGTTGAGCTTGTTCTAAGTAGGTGCCTTAGACCACTGAGCCATCTCACCAGCCCCTGTTTTTTGGTTTTGAGAGAAAGTCTTGCTAAATTGCCCTGGCTGGCCTCAAACCTGCTATTTATTCTCTGGCCTCAGCTTCCTGAGTGGCTGGGATTACAAGCGCATACTACCACATTGAACTCTATATCATCATCATCATCATCATCATCATCATCATCATCATCATCATCATCTTGGTACCAAGGATAGAACTCAGGACCTTGCCCTTTCCAGGCAGGCACTTATGCTGCTGAGCTACAATCCCCAGCCCTTGTATTCTATATTATTAATGCCTTTTCTTTCAGAATAGTAATGATTATTCCAGTATGGGTTTTTCAACAATAAAAATATCCATGGTGTAATATTGTATTATCACAGTACTTAGTATCTCTTGTAAGATAGTTGAGCTACAAATTTGTTCACCTGAACTTTGGATAGGTTTATAACAGTTCATTAAATTTCCTGCTAAAAGTCAAGGAATTCTATTTTATTTTTATTTTTGGCACCAGGGTTCAAAGTCATGACTTTGCTCTTGCCAGGCAGGTACTTAAGCAGTTGAGCTATCTTCCCCAGTCCAGTTTCAAGGAATCCTAAAAGCACTTCCACTACAGCTTGATTCTAGATGTCTCTCCCTGGGCTGGAGAGATAGCCCAGCAGCATAAGTGCCTGCCTCGATGTCCTTCCCAGAGCCTCATGCAGTCCTGGGTGGGGCTTTTTCAGAGGTGGCTGCATCTACAGACTGACTGATTAATGTCGCAATGCTAGGCTCAAGGGCACTAGGATTAAGGGTGTGAGTGCTACCTGCTCTAAGTAGCCTGGATACGACAAAGGGGGCAGAAAGTTGCTGTGAAGGACCTTGCTGGTTTTGCCATCTTCTCCTGCCAGGAACTGTTTCTCCTGGGATGTTCCTGAGCTGTCAAGTATGGACTAAAATCTCCACAAACTGTGAACTAAATAAAGCTTTCCTCCTTTAACTCTGGATGTTGTGTATTTTGTCTCAGCAATGAGAAAACTAAGACAACCTACAACCTATCAAATCAAAACTGGGCCAGCAGCAACAGGTGGTCCAGGACAGTATGGTTTGAGCTCTATCACACTGTGGATGGCATCCTGTGCCTTCCCTGGGTTGATCTTATGCCCACCGGAGCCCAGACACCTGCTGCCTTGACAGCTCTGTTCGCTGTGATGCCAGCCTCCCTGGCTCGTCGGACACCCCGAGAGTCCCGCAAGAGCTCCGTCAGCATCAGGCTTGCCAGTCTACTTTAAGCCTTTTTATTTTTCCAGAGTCCAAATTCTATTCTAATGAGTGGACAGATATTTATCATCAGATATAGACTCACAGGGAAAGAAAAGCCTAAGCAGAGGGCTGACAGGGACTTCCCTGAGTTCCGTCCATAATGGCCCTGCGCAGCTGCCCATCACACTCTGGGGAGCCCCCCACCCCCACCAGCGGGCATGCAGCGCCGCCTCCACTTTGCATCTAACGCTGTCTTCAAAGGAGCAGCTCTGGTTCTGCCCAGTCACCCCGCTGCCGATTTCATCCCCTCCCCGTTGGGACAAATCAGATAAGCAACAATCAGATAAATACGCAACGGTTCCCAAACTGTGTACAAACTGCCACATTCCACCCACAGGCTTTCTGATTCAGTAGAGAATGGCTAAGGTTAAAAAGGTTGCATTTTAATTAAGTTTTTTATTGTTAGCCAGGCTTGGTTGTGCTCTCCTGAATCCCACCCGCCAGGGAGGCTGAGGCAGGAGGATGGCTACTCTAAGTTCAAGGACAGTCTGGGCTACAAAATGAGACCAGACCAAAAAAGCAAAGCAAAAAGATGTAGTATCAATAGCATTTGCACAGTTGTGGCTCCCTTAACAGTTTAATGAGGAAATATTTATTAATATCACCCATTATACAAGTATACCTCATTTGTCTTTTTTTCTCCCGTGTTTAGGACAGGGTCTACAGGGTCTCACTATGTAGATCAGACTCTAGTGATCCTCCTGTTTTTAGCCTCCCAAGCACTGGGATTACTGGTGCACCACTACCCCCAGTCTCAACTGCCATCTCAGTGTGCCCCAGGGGCAGGGCCAATGGGGATTCCGGCGGCCACTGCACTCTGCCTAACCAGGTGCTTTAATCCGTTGAGCTATCAGGCTGGCCCTCATTTAAGTCTTAGAACAACCTACAACCCTTCTTTTTGTCTTTGAGACAGGGCCTCTGCAGTTCTGACTAGCCTTGAGCTCACTTTGCAGCTCAGGCAGGTTTTTTATTTTTTTAAAGAGCAGAATATATGTACTGGGGGAAAGCTAGCTCCTATCCAAAAGGGACAGAAGGGGGACTCAAGCCGGTTGTCCCTCAGGCTGGTGTTGACCTTGCAGAGATCCTCCTGCCTCAGCCTCTTGAGTGCTGGGTTTGCATGTGCCACACCTGGTGGCAACGGATCTTGTTTATTCTGCTTTCAAGGTAGTTTTCTGTGTGAGCATTTCAAAGTCTGTTGTTGCTTCTGTTGTCTAGAACAGGAGAGCTGGGGCTGTAGCTCAGGGGCACAGAGCATGCACAAGGCTGAGTTCAATCCCCAAACCACATGAAACAAAAACACAGTAAGACAGGAGAGGATGGGAGAATGGCTTCCCAGTCAGGAATCTCAGCTGGTGGGAAGGCTGGCCTTTGCAGTGGGGCATACCTGGTTCCTCCCTCAGGGACAGGTGGCCTCCCACCACTACCTCATCCCTAGGTTTCTGCACCCGTAAAGCAGCAGGCCCAGTGGTAGCATGTTCCAGGCTAGCCCTTGATCCTGATTACCACACCAGCCCTGGGGGACCCACCTGAACGTGCACCTCCCAGAGGCTTCTCCCAGCCCTCACACTATGCTATCAGCATGAACTCATTACAAAGACCTGAACAAAAGTCCACCTTTATTTCTGAGAAATGTAGTCAAGTTTAAAACCAGAGCAACATAAATAGGTTTATTTTTAGCCTTTGTTCATTTGGTTGTAATCTTTCTTCCCTGGTCAGATGGCAGTGAATGATCAGCTCTAAGTAGTTTTATGTGCTGCAAAGTATTTTATCTTCCATGCGCCATGTGTATAGGGGGAGGGACGCAGGGTTTAAAATTAATCCAAATAAAGTCAAAATGTTAACTCACAGGTGAAGACTTTTTTTTTTTGCAGAACCGGGGATTAAACTCAGGCTCTTGTGCTTGCCAGGGAAGCGCTTAATCACTTCCATTAAGGGAGAGACTGAGCCATCTCCCTAGCCCCATCACAGGCGAAGACTTAATCACACTACTAATAAGCCAGCTGTAGCTTGAGTAAATGCAGTTTTATGAGGAAATTGGTACAGGACTGGCAGAATTTGTGCGTCTGGGGGCCCATGTCATATAACAGAGAAGCCGGCTTCTCCTCTGGCAGGAAACCAAGGACTCTGCCTTGTCCTTGCGCTGCAGGAGCATCTGTGCTACTCAGGCAGATGCTGTTTTTGGACCCTCAGGCCCTGTCATCTTTAAGCTTTCACTGTTCAGGCCTAGTCCCCCCATACTACTCCTGCTAACACCTGTGGAAAGCGTGCCCTCAAGAGTCCCCTCAGCCTGGCCAGCTCTTTTTCTCCATTTCTCATCCAGGGTTAAGACCATCTGATCCTGTGACACACCCACAATGAGACACAGAGAGAAAGCACCCAAGTCCTCTGCCTTCACATGGTTTCGCATTCTGGGGGCAAGCAGTCTTCGTGAACCTTTCCGTGGGAGTCCAGGGCCTCTTGATCGGGGAAGGTTTTCCCACAGACACTGCAAGTGCCACCCTCATCCTCCTTGTGTGAGCGCCGGACGTGGCTGTCGTGGGCAGCATGTGATGCGAAAGATTTGCCACAGTGCTTGCACTTGAAGGGCTTTTCCCCGGAATGCTGCCTGATGTGTGTGCGGAGGATGCTGGAGGCAGTGAACTTCTACAGAGGGAGAGAGAAGAGACTTTCATGGGCTGGACCCCCAGGAAGGCAGGTTAATTTCACCCTTATAGATCACTTATGTTGCCCCTTAGGTGGCTAATTGAGAATCTCAGATTTCAAGGCTATAGAAGCGTCCTTAGTCAGCTGGTCAGCAGCAGCCTTAATGAAAAGGGACTGAGCCGATTGGTCATTCTGGCTCCTTCTGAGCACTGGGTGTGCTAGCCACAGTTCTCCAGGGGCTGACATCACCCGGGACTCTTAATAATCTGACACCAGCCCCAGGAGCCAAATTGTGAGCAATCAGGTCTGAACAAAGCCAAGACCAACTGCATTACAAAAGAAGAGGCAAATGGTGGCCAGGGTCTTAGCATAACTTAATACCTTACTGGTTTTCTTTTTTTTTTTTTTTTTTTGGTTTTCTTTTAAATAAAAAAATTAGGGGCCAGGGAGATGGCTCAGTGGAATAAGCCCTTCCCTGACAAGCACAACGGCCTGAGTTCAATCCCTGGTTCCACCAAAAAAATAAAATTTAAAAAAAGGTAACACATCTGTCTACCCCGTGGCTGATTTCCCTCAGTGGTTCCACCTGACCATTCTAGAGCCCCGCACCAAGCCCCAGAGCCCCGCACAGTCCTCCTGTAGCCAGAGCTCCTCTGACGGGCCCTTCAGCTGAGGCTGTCAACTCTCTCGTTCCCACTCAGCACAGACCTGCCAGGCCATGTTTACCAGTTCATTTCTCTACTGCCGAGCAGTGCTCAGCAACAAGTGTAACAAGCCCACTGTGTTTTGGTGCTCATCTGTGGAGGGACATCTGGGTTGCTTCCATTTTGGGGCTATTATGAATAAAGCTGCTATCAATACTATGTACAGGTTTGTGCAGACATAAAAGCCTTCGTTTCCCTGGGAGAGGCTGGGGAGATAGCTCAGTGGCATAAGTGCTTGCCTGGCAAACACATATCAAAAAAAATCCTATGACTGGGGAGACGGCTCAGTAGAATAAGCGCTTCCCTGTTAAGCGCAAGGGCCTGAGTTCAATCCCTGGCTCTGCAAAACAACAACAGCAACAACAACAGCAGCAACAAAAACCCAAAAACATGTTTGGGGCCGGGTAGATGGCTCAGTGGAATAAGCACTTCCCTAGCAAGCGCAAGGGCCTGAGTTCAATCCCCGGTTCCGCAAAAAAAAAAAAAAAATCCTAAACATTTCCCGGGAGAAGAGCTCAGGAAAGTAGCTGCAGATTGTCTCAAGATAGTCGCAAGTCTGGTTGATCTTTCTTTTTTTTTTTTGTTGGTGGAACTGGGGATTGAACTCAGGCCCTTGTGCTTGCCAGGGAAGCGCTTATTCTACTGAGCCATCTCCCCACCCCCTTGGTTGATCTTTCTGAGATCAGGTGTGTTCCCCAGGGCTGGGGTCTCTAACTCACCACCCTCTCACCTGCACACCTGGTTTGTAGCCCCTACACCTGACCATGTTTAGTTTTCTTTCTTTTTTTTTTTTTTAAATTTTTTTTATTTGTGTGTGTGGCCAGCTCAGCCCACCAGGGGCCGGGCTGGCTGGCATGTGGTGCTGGGGATTGAACCGCGGTCCCTGGGCTTTGCTAAGCTTGTTCTAAGTAGGTGCTTTAGACCACTGAGCCATCTCACCAGCCCCCATGTTTAGTTTTCAAAGAAACTGCTGAACTATTTTCCAGAGCAGATGTGAGTTTTAGATTCCCAGGCATTTTACTGTGGTTTGTCGTTTGTTTGACACATTCTTGGTCACATCTTTTCTTTCCTTTATTTTTAATCTTTGCTACCATATATTTTAATTTTCTGATTTTTGTCACTTATTGGCATGTTAAAAATGTTATGCCTTTTATTCTTTGAGTTCAGTGGCAGTAATACACAACATGAGGTGAACTGGTGAACGTGAACGTAGGTGAGGGAGGGAGTAGCTACTCAGTGGGGTGTCTGAGTAGCAGGGCCCCCAGGACTGCCACATGAGCAGTCAGGTCACCACTCAGTAACGAAGACCACCCAGGGGTGCTCAGTCTGTGGGGAATGAACTGGAACTGAATGTTCAGTGAGGGTGCCAGATCACCAGATAGCCTAGCTGGCCTCAGTTTCCCCCTCAGAGCATGCTTCCTTTCCAGGTTAGGTAGGAGTACAGAGTGGGCCTCAAAATTAGAACTCCAGAAACAGGACAGTCTATGGGGTACTTTGTCTTTGCTCTGGAAACCCCGTGGGATGGGACAAAGCTACCCTTTAAGAAAGACTGTTTCCACCAAGCCTCTGGCCACCTTTTTAAAATCTGTGTTGGGTTCCCACAGTTATTTATGTTTCAGCCTGTTTAACTTAACTATGCTGATTTTTTTCCCTACAAGTACCAGTTTCCCAAAGCGACGTGCTTTTTTTTTTTTTTTGGTGTGGAGGAACTGAACCTAGGACTTGTGCTTGCCAGCAGGTGCTTATGCCACTAATCTACATCCCTGACTTCCTAATTAATGTTTCATTCCTATTTGAAGTGTGTACAAGTCCCTCTGAGATGGTCTATTTCTTTTATGACTTTAATGTAAGAACTGTAAATGACATCATGACAGAGATGATGTAGTCTCTTCTATGGGGCATGTGTGACACACATGTAATCCTAGCACTCTGGGAAGCTGAGGCAGGGGGATCACAGATTCTCATTCAGCCAATAACTTAAGGATGTTGTGGAACCCAGTCCTGAAACATAAGGAGGGCTGTGGTTGTAGCTCAGGGTGGAGGCCCTGTGCTTCCTCTCCCCTTGATGCCCCCGCAGGCCCTTACCTTTGCACAGTACACACACTGGTACGGTCTGTCTCCAGAGTGCACTCGCATGTGCTTGTTCAGGCTGGAAGACTGAGAGAAACACTTCCCACATGTAGGGCACTAAGGGGAAAGCAAGAAAGTAGGGTTGAAACCATATCTCCTTCCCTTAACAGTCTGTTTCAGTATCACGTCCACAGGGGAGAAGGGCCTCAGGTCTACTCTGTAACCAGTGGGCTCCCCCCATGCTGAGGGCAATTCAAGGAGACCCTGGATCAAAAGCAAGTAAAATAAAATGCCTAAGGACAAAGCTCAGTGGCAGAGCACTTGCCTGGCATGCACAATGCCCTGGGTTCAATTCACCAGAATGGAAGGAAAAAAAAAAAAAAAAAAAAAAGGTTCCCTGCAGACTAAGCCCCAGGGAGAACACTTCCAACAAGAATATAACAAGAATGTTAAAAGTTAAGAATTTACAATACAGTGGGGGAGGTAGCTTAGTAGAAGAAGCTTCCCTGGCAAGTGCAAGGGCCTGAGCTCAATCCCCAATTAAAAAAAAAAAAAAAAAAAAAAAAATTACAATACATATCACGAAGGAGCAAATTTATCTCTCATAATTGGAATTCCTACCAAAAACATAAAATTTAGTGGGGCTGTGGATATAGCTCAGTGGCACAGCATCTGTCAGGCAGGTGCGAGGTCCTGAATTTGATTCCCAGAATCCACAAAACAAAACAAACCCAAAACAACAGCAACAACAAAACAAAGTTTACTAAGAAGCCACAGATAAAAAAGGATGGTGTGACTGGAGCACTTGACTGAGTATGAGGCTCTGTGAGCCAGCTGTGGCGCTGTACTGCAATCCCAGGGCAGAGAGGCTGAGGGAGACAGAGGTGAAGTCCATGTGTTCAAGCCCAGCTTGGGCATCTTGGCAGCTTAGGGAGGTCTTACAAAATGAAGGGCTAGAATGTAGCTAAGTGTGAAGTGTCTGGGTTCAATCCTGAGAGCACAGGGGTTGGGGAGAAACCAAAAAACAAATGCTTTCTGCAAAAGCAAAGCCTTAGGGAAGGAATTCTAAGTCTGTGCATGAACTCCATGTAGGACCACAGGGATTTTTTTTCCCGACATTTCTGAGTTATTTTTGAAAATGGTGTCACTTTTCAGGGACTTTGGCCTTAATTTTAGCTGACTATATGAGAAGAAACCACACTCAGGTTAGGTGGAGGGTGGTTAGAGTTTTCAGCTGTTAGCTGCATACCCCACATTTTCTTATGTTAGTAGATCAATGAATTTGCTTCTTAAAAATCACTTCTCTAGGGGCTGGGATGTAGCTCTCTGGTAGAGGATAAATTAAACATGTGGAAGGCCATAGGTTCAATTTCCAAAACCAAAACCATTTTTCTCTAAATGCGGCAGAGGAGGCACGTGCCTGCAATCCCAGCACTTGGGAGGTTGAGGAGGAGGACTGCTGAGAGTTTGAGGCCTGCCTGGGTGGAGGCGGGTGGGGGGGGAAGAGAGTTCAAGGCCAGCTTGACCTGCATAGTGAGACCCTGTCTGAAAGAAGAGAGAACAGGGCCAGGGATATAGATCAGCAGCACAGCATCTGCCTGGCAAGTGCAAGGTTCCAAGTTTGATTCCCAGTACTAAAATAAATGGGGGCTGGGGAAGATGGCTCATTAGGATAAGCACTTGCCTGGCAAGCTCAAGGCTCTGAGTTCAATCCCCAGTTCTGGGGGAAAAAAAAAA